AATCATATAGGATGTGTGAGAGTGCCTAGAAAATTTAAATTAATTTTAATAAGTATAGGGAATATGTTTTTATAGGAAATAGTGTAATTTTCACACTAAATAAATAAATTGATGGCTCAAATTAGGGCCAAAAATTATGAAAATTTAAATCAAACCCCTTAATGAATTTTTGAAATTATTATAGAAATAAAATTGATTTTTGAAAAGTATAGAATGGAATTTTAAAAGCGGGGACTAAATTGCATAAAATTAGGGACTCAATTGCATAAAATTAAAATTCTAATAATCCAAATTAAATTATTTAAGAATTTTAAGGGTTAAAAATCATTCATAAAAACTAAAAAGGAAGGATTAGAACTGAGTTTTTGCATAAAAGAGGGACTTAGGAAAGAATGGGCTATGAAAAAGTCTAGAAACTTGGAGGACCAAAATTTATCATTTTCCTCCCAAATTTGGCCGACCTAGAGAATTAATTAATTCTGACTTCCAGTAAAAATTATGGAAAAAAATAAGCAAGGTGGAATGGTTAAATAAAAAGGTGAATAAATGGCTAAACATTGGGACAAATGCAAATGAAAGATTGAAAATTGAATTAAGGGCTGAGATTTTCCCACAAGGGTGGAGATGAGGTAAATAATTCCATAAAATTTCATATAAATAGGGGTGCTAGAAAAATAAAAAGGAGAGAAAAAATTGAAAAACACAAAGGAAACTCTTACAAAATTTTCACTTAAAAATCACCCAAAACATTTTTAATAAATTCTATCCACCTCTAATCACTGGAAGAAGCTTTAATTTTAAGTGGGAAGCCAAAAATCTCAAGGGAAAAATTCAAAGATCAAATTCAAAAATTTAGAGGAAAAGAGGAGGAAGAGACATCCTCCACCAATCTACCTTTTCGAGTCTAATTGGAGCTCAAACAAGTAATTTAACCTTACCTACACCACAAGCATGCTTAATTTCAAGTCAATTTCATTTTTAATTGCTTGATTTGATTTAATTGCTCAATTAAGAAAAATTAGGGTTAAAGTTCTTAATAAACCAAATGTAGGGGTTTTGAATTATTTCATTTAATTGGTGTTTTGGTACTTAATTCTAACTTATTTGAGCATGAATTAATGTTTAATAATGAAAAATTACACTTTAATTGAAGAAAAATCCACTAATTTTTAAGAATTATATTCGGCCTAAACTAAGCAAATTAGAGTTTAAGTTCAAAGCAATTTGATTCTGGTTTTATGGGTCATTCACACTTGAATAAGCATGTTTTTATGATTAGAAATGGAAAATTTGCAAAAAAATTGAAGAAAATGGGTTATATGGGCTTGGGTCCAATTTCGGCCCATTAAGGCCCAATACGGGTTTGGACAAGATTTCGTGTCCCAAATTTCAATTAAATTAATTCCTATAGTTTTTACATACCTAGGCTACTTAGTATTAAAATGGTGGGACAAAATGAGGAGAAAATGTTAGGATTCTAAAGAGGTCAAGTTTAGGCCTAAATGGGAGTTTTGAGGAATTAGGTTTAAACCAATTTTTAAACCTTAAATTTGATTATTCAAACTCAAAACATGATAAAAGGATGGTTTACAATGAAAAGGGCTCATAAAAATTTAAAGAAAAGTTGGGTTAGGAAAAATTGGACCTTAGGCCCATTAAAGCCCAAACCAAAATTGAACCTCCTAAATCAATGAAATAATACCTAGTTAGGTTGGAACATGAAGTGATACTTAATTTGGTAAAGACCAAATATGGAAAAATAATTAAGAACCTAAGCAAAAGAATTTATGAAAGTAAAGTGAAAAGTAAGTTTAATGAACAAAGAAATGGAACAAAAATGTTAATCTCCCTTTATGTTATGGTTATTTTCTTTTAAATACTATATGAATGCATTAAGTTATGAATAATGGTCATGCTTGAATGTGATTAATGATGAGAATTGGGTTATGATAATTGATATGCCAATGATGGCTATATTGGTTTATATTGGATTGATATTATCTATCTCTGTTATACTCGTCCAATTTTATATCGATTCTTATGACATGGCTACATAACCATTATAAGTAAGCATTCATGAATTCATACGATTCTGCTGGTTCATTGCAAATTGCATACGCATGCTTAGCTCATGAATAATGTTTTAATTCATGAAAATATATTTTATGTCATGGTTATCCGATAGCAATCGGAATGATTTAAAGGAAAAGATTTTCATGAGTTTGAGGTTTTGAGGAAAGGACTTCATAGGTTTTCCATACAATGATGGTAATGCTTCGGGATCGGGCAAGTGCAAACGAGCACTTTTAGAGGCTCGGTAGGGTGCATCCGTTGACGGGTGCAGTCCGTCGGACATATGTGATGGAAATCTCGAAGTACCTAAATGGGACATGTCCAAAGACAAAAAAAGGATTTTCGGATCTGTTTATGAAATGTTTTATGACATAAGAAAAAGGGATTCATTATGCATATCGGTGTTTTATGCATACATACACTACATACATACGTTAACTTACTGGGCTATAGCTCATACAATTCCTTGTGGTGTAGATAAATAAGATATTATGGCTCACTTCTTTGCTAAGTTGACTACCGAGGGAGGCATCAAACGCATGTAGCTTGGATGAGGGTTTGGCTTTCGAGTAGCCCCATTACACGAGTAATTGACACGGAATCGGTCATGTATGTAAATAGTTGAGGTGTATAATCGAATCGGTAATAATAAATAATAATATCATAATAGTAGTATAATTACTTTAAATTATCCATTGCATATTGACATGATTAGAAGTTTAGTAAACATGTAAAATAAAATAAACTAAAATAAAATATCATGATAAATAAACGCGACATAAACATGAAAAATTTATAGCAAAGTTGAAGTAAAAAATAGGACACGAACGTCATTAAAATATTTTTGCCGCGTAAATATTCTTACATATGTTACAATAAGATCATAGTGCCTTGTTAGCTTACATTCATTGCACTTCGAATGTGACTAACGATGATAATATTCTCAACTTATTAGGTCCTAGGTTGGGGATGTTACACAAGTGAGTGTTCGAACAAAGCTAAATGTAGATGGCTCTATCAACAAACTCAAAACAAGACTTATGGTAAAAGGGTATGCTCAAATTTTTATTGTTGATTTCTCTAACACATTTGCTCCTATTTTAAGCCTAAATACAATCAAGCTATTACTAGCTCTTGTAGTACATAAGGGTTGGAAAATCTTCTAACTTCATTGTATTTAGGCTTACAATAGGAGCAAATGTGTTGAGCTATTACTAGCATTTCTAAATGGAATTCCGAAGGAAGAAATCTATGTTGAGCAACCTCGAAGGCTTTACTCGGAAAGGGCAAGAGAACAAAGTTTGTCTACTCCAAAAGGAGCTATATGGTTTAAAACAAGCACTAAGGGCTCGGTACGGTAGGATTGATGAACATCTATTAAAGTTAGGCTTTGTTAAAAGTCTTAGTGAATTAACCTTATATGAAAAAAAATGATCAATCCGACTTTATTATGCTCTCTTTGTATGTTAATGATCTCTTGGTTATAGGCAGCAATACTAAACTAATTGAGTAATTCAAAAAGGAGATGAAGGTCTTTGAAATGACAGATCTTGGAGAAATGGCATACTTCTTGGCATGGAGATTAGATAGAACCAATAGGATATGTTTATCCGTCGGAAAAAATATGCTAAGGAAATTCTGAAAAAATTTTAGATAGAGGATTACAAAACAATGAGCACTCCTATGAACCAAAAGGAGAAGCTCACCAAAGAAAATGGTGTAGAAAAAGTGAAAGAGGTTGTTTACGAAGCCTCATTGGATGCCTAATGTACCTTACGAGCAACTAGGCTTAGCATCCTACCATGCTGTAAATGTCTTGTCAAGATTCATGCACTCGTTCAAGTGAAGTGCATTTCAAAGCGACAAAACCTATTCTAAGATATGTCAAAGGAATTACGGATTATGGAGTTAAGTTACGTTATAGTTAGAATTTTAATTTTCAAAAATATTCGATAGTGATTGGGTAGGGTCCATAGATGACATTAAAAGTACCTCGGGATATTGTTTTAGTTTTGGCTCAAGAGTTTTCTCTTGGTTTTCTAAGAAGCAAGAGATTGTGGCTCAAACAATTGCTCGAGGCAGAGTTCATTGCTTGTCACAATAGTTGTGAATCAAGCCTTATGGCTTAGGAAAGTCTTAATTAATCTTCCTATAGGGTAGAAGTAGAGCATAAATGTGTTTGTTGACAATAAGGCAACCATTGCAATCTCCAACAATCTCGTCTTCTATGGGAAAACTAAACACTTTAACATCAAGTTGTATTTCTTAAGGAAAGTGCGGATAAATAGAGAAGCATGTACGTTATACCGCAAGACCGAAAATCAGCTTACCGATATTTTTACAAAAGCACTTATTGGGAGCGAGGTTCGAGTTTCTAAGAGAGAAGCTTAGAATTTGCAACTACTAAAACAAGGAGGAGTGTTGCAAATATGCCTCGGTAATTGCTAAGCTGTATAGAAGTTGCCTTAGCAATGTCACGTTGTACTGCAAGACTAAAAATCAACTTGCTGATATTTTTACAAAAGTACTTCTTGGGAGCAAGTTCAAGTTTCGAGAGAGAAGCTTGGAATCCGCAACTACTAAAACAAGGAGGAGTGTTGCAAATATGCCTCAACAATTGCTAACCGTGCGAAGTTGCTAATTAGGCAAGCTTAGGTGGCTGCACATGTTGCATTTTAAATCTTTGACCTATTCTTATAGTTTTTGTTATGCATTTTCTTTAGTTGCTAAAAAGTAATTGTTCATGGCTTAGATCATGTTCTATTTTATGTCATCATATTTTGTTCATTGGTTAGATCATGTAATCATGATAAGTTTTTATTGCTTTTTAAGTTACAATATTTTGTATCTAAGCACATTTTTTATTCAATGAAAATATATCAGTTAGTAGCCAATTTTCTTGAGTTCTAAAAGCTTAATTTTATTAGCTAACTTGGTTTATAGCCTTTAGCTTTTCTTGCTGCCTTTGTGAGTGAAATCCTACACACTCCATCAATGAAAAATTTGCACAGCTCAGTTTTGAGGTACTCCCCCTCTGAATCAGAACGGAAAATGGGCTATCAAATTGATTTTCCACCGTATTAACAAAGAACATTATTATATGTGGAAGTACGGATCTATTTTGAAATAAATATATCCAAGTGAAGCCGGTGCCGTGATCAATAAATAAAATGAAGTAACGATACCCCATGTGAGAGTGAATTGGAGAGGGACCATAAACATCACTATAGATTATATCAAATGGTGAAGAATAAGTAGATCTACTTGATGGAAAGGGAGGTTTATGACTCTTTGATTTTGCACAACTTTCAAATGAGAAATCAGTACACTTAAAAGAAACGTTTTTATTCAATTGCAGACAAGATTTCAACATTAAGTCGAAGCGTTGAACATGTGGATGTCCTAACCTTAAATGTCATAAAAAAAATATTTTTCTTGGCTACTTGAATATCAGATGCAAATGCAGAGGAAAAAAAAGAAGAATGACTTGGAGTCTCATCAAAGCATAACAAAAACGTTCGTCCACATTTACGTCTCCTTGCAATCGGTTTCCCTGTCTTGAGATCCTGAACAACACAACCATGAGAAGAAAAAAATACCAAGCGGTTATTATCAACAAGTTGACCAACAAAAATAAGATTGAAAGATAACTTTGGGACATAAAGAACATCATGAAATTTATGAGTTTTTGTAGGAGCTGAAAAAAGAGATATGGTGCCCTTTCCAGAAACATGTGATTTTTCTCCATTAGCAGTGATGATAAAATCATTAGATGCGACTCGAGGTTGAATAGAAAAAGAAAACTTTAAGTTCACTAGTCGTATGGTTGGAAGCACCAGAATCAATTTGCCATATAGTAGAAGTTAATTTTGTACCTAGATAAGTTACAACAGCAAGAGCGTTAGAAATAGCACTTGGGAAAGCAGTGGCTACAGATTCTTGGATCATACGTTGGATGGCTTCTGAATCAAGGGTAGGAAAAACATTTGTTCTGGAAATGGTAGAATCACTAATGCCACTTGCAACAGCCTTATAAGCTCGAAAAGTGTTCTGCTTGCTTGCTGATTTTCGACCATATTCAAAAATAATATGGCCCTTCTTTTTACTATAATTGCAAAAGTTTTTCTTTCTACAATTTGCCGCCACATGCCCAAACTCCTTACAGTCATGACATTGGACTCTGCCAAGATCTGGTTGTGAGTAATCGCGGGAGGCTATCATAGTTGCATCAAAAGTGAATGAGGCATCAAGACACTTCTGAGTTCGCAATCTAGTCTATTCTCGCAGTAGTTTAGAGAGGACCATGTCCAAATCAAGAAATGATTCTCTATTGAGAATATTGACACGAATAATCTCATATTCAGGGCGAAGTTTCGTGGGAAACTAAACTATGGTTTTTTTCCATTCCTGCAATACTTTTGGAAGCGCTATGGCAGGTAAAGTAGCACTAGAATTCATATTATGTTCAGACCATAAAGCAAGTACACCTGAATAGAAAGTTTGAATATCTTTATCCTCTGATTTGTATTCAGAAATGGCCCTTTTCAATCCAAAAACTCATGCATGACTAGATTGAGTGTATACCTAACGCAGATAATTTGACATTTCAGATGCCTTCTAAAAAGAGCGTAATCCCAGTGCAATTTCCTTGGTGACTGAATTAAGAATCGAAGAAATAACTCGTGCATTATTAGTCTTCCATTTTGCCTTTCTTTATCATCACTTGGTTCCTATTTCGATCTATCAAGAATGCCGAACAAATCTTTTCCTTCAATCAACATACTAAACTGAAATTCCCAAAGGGAATTGTTCCTACCATCAAATTTGATAGAGATTATACCGTGGTGCTCAATGGCTATTGTCTAATTTTTTCGTATTTGATAGAACACGAGGAAAGCAGAAGTAGTGGGTTGGATCTTGAATTAAACAGAGTAGTCTCGGATTTTTTTACTTTAATTTTTTTGAAAAAAACATACATAAACAAATTAGAAAGAGTTTGAGAAAGGCTAGGACTCTGATACCATAATAGCAATCAGAGGAAATAAGGAATCGAAATATTACAGAGAGAAAGACGCGTCTCTAATTGCTAATCCCAATAGCAATCAGAGGAAATAAGGAATTGAAATATTATAGAGAGAGAGACGTTTCTGTAATTGCTAATCTCAATAGCAATCAGAGGAAATAAGGACTTGAAATATTATAGAGAGAAAGACGTTCTCTTATGGCTTATTCCAAAATACGAAATATGAGTGAGTATATACAACGAACAAACAATCAATCCAACACAATTAGCTCCACTTATGTTGTCTAGTCAAATCCCATAGATATAGCTGGTCAATATCTAATTAACCCTAAATTATCTCTACTAATATGAACAACGAGTACTAACGTAAATATAGGTTCTGTCGTTTCGTATGCTATCAAATAGGTATAGAGGATAAGGACCCCCATCTCTGAAACAACCTTATTGTCATTAAGAAGCATGGGAAGATGAACTACAAAATGTGGCCATGCTCCTTCTCATTATAATACAGGTCAGTTCAGCTAACTGGTTTTATTTCTAACTTCATATCATTGCAGAGGACACGTTGCTCCCCTATACTTATTTGTCAAAGGAATTTTAGGAGTATTTAAATCCTGTTCCTATGTGATGCAACCAAGTGTTCCCATCTGGATCAAACTTAGCTCTTTGGGTTCCATTTTCCTCCTTTTTTTAGTATAGAGCTGTCTTATAAGAAGTTCCCAACATTAATGCATCCTATTTGTCGTTGCAGTTTTTGTTTTTAAACCTCTTGTGCCTATCTGATCCAAACAAGTGTGCCCATCTGAACCAAACTTGGGTGTTTGATTTTCAAATTTTTTTTTTTTTCCTCACGATCGCTTCAATGCATTATTGAAGTATGATGTAGTTTAGCGCTAGAATAAAGGATGCATCGTGGGTAACAAGAATAAAGCACTAGAAACTGGTTGGTATTAGGCAATTTCTACAAGTATTCGAAAATATTATGAATTATAGTATATTCTAGTTTAGAAGATAAGTGAATATAAAGGATGCATCAAGTAAAATGAATTAACATTCAGAAATCATTTAAAAAGAAAAAAAGCAAAAAAAAAAAAAAACATTTTCATACGCCATTCGTAAGGGTCACACTTGTGAATTCATAGCCATTTATGTGGCTTGTTACAACCCGCAGTTGCTAGCGACATCGATTAGGTTGTAAATAAAAATGACATACTTGACGTAATATAATAAATAAACAAAATCACATCGATTAGGCACTTGTAATCATGAGAAATCCTTCAAATTGCCACAGCATCCAGCAGCAGTACCAACAATAATTATTATTTGAAAAAAAATATAGAATTATATTAGTCTCAAGTAAGACGAGGGGAAGCTGTAGGGAAAGAAGTAAAAACCTACAAATACAACTGCTACAACTTGTAAGTTGTTACTTGTAACTAATGGTAACCAGATTTTCTAATGCAATCGCCACTCGTGGAGCATATGGGAATCTGCCACAAGAAATCCTTGAATGCCTTCTTGAAAAGACGAAGGCCAAACTATATCTATAAACACATGAAGCCTCTCTTTATTAGAAATAGTTAATCGACTAAAGGAGTGACAGGGGGAAACTGTAAAATCCATTCAAAACTTAAAATATAGTATCAGGAATTATATAACTTTGGTACTCTGCCACAAGGCAGCCTTAAAATTGCCTTCATACAAAAACATAGGCCAAATTACCACATACTTTTTTTGAATTCTCTTTATCTACACTACAACAAGCTCCAAAAATCCTACCAGAAACAGATGGTAAATAGAGATAGCATACTTAGATAGCAACTACCATTTACAATTTGCGCTAAGAGAACATTTAAAGATACAAAGAGCAAAGTGTTTCTCCAAATTAATCATCATCCGTCCCCAATTCAGATTGGTAAGAGAAATGATACTTAATTAGCAAGAACCTCCCAAATTAACTCAGGATCATAAGATGGCATTCTTGCAAGGGAACAGCCTTCGAATTCCAAATCTTGTGGCACCATTACGGAATAATCTGTAGACACAGAAGGAGATGAGCTCTCACACTTCCGAAGCCCATCTTCAGAAACAGCCGGTGACACCAATTCACTACTACCCCAATTATCACCGGAAAACAAAGGTGAAAATGATGATGGCTCTGGTGATGGTGTTGGTGAATTTGAATCTACCTTCACTGGTTTTTTACTTTCTGTGCTTTTGCCATCAACATTACTCTTCTTTGCTGCATTCTTTTTTGCCCTCTCTTTTTTAACCTTCTGACAAATTGCTTGAATCTTGGCATCTACAGTACTCTTCAAAGCATTCAATCTAGTAAAATCTGTGAATCCTAACTTAGTAGGATCTTTTAGATTTGGAAAATTCAATCTTGCATATTCCCCTCTGAGTTTATAAGCTGCACGGTCATAAGCATAAGCCGCAGCTTCAGCTGTGTCGTAAGTACCTAACCAGACTCTCATTCTGTTTTGTGGGAGTCTAATTTCAGCAACCCATTTGCCCCAATGCCTCTGCCTGACTCCCCTGTATAGTTTCTTCTTAGTTGGAGCCAAATAATTGCTGGTGTGCACAGGGTTTTGAAGAGGATTCGTTAGCAAATTGTGAGAAAAGGAAGTGTTTGTTCGGTTTTCTTCACTGAATTTTTGCAATAGATCTCTCTGGCGTAGATAGACAGAAGAGCCTAAGGGCTCAAAAGCAGGACTGGTAAGAGTACTTGCTGGTTGGCAATGAGAGAAAATTGAATCCAAAGTGTTGGTCCCTCCTGCCAATATAAGTTGTGACAGTGAGGAACCAATATTGATTGTGTTGTTTAATGCAAAAGAAAAGTTGTTTTCTTGCATTCTTTCCATGATCATCTGAAGCTTTTTGAAGAAGGGAAAACAGAGGAAACAGAGGAGGTAGATGAAGAGGAAGGAAAATAGGCACTAAAAATTGCCCCTTTTCCGTCAAAATAATGCTTTAGAAAAGAAAAAATGAGAAGATGAAAAAAAAGTAACGATCTTGCTAGAAAACAAAGAAGGGATTTTGAGAGACCAAAAGAAAGCTTAAAGCTTGAGCTTTAATGGGCAAAAAGGAAGAGCAGAGTGGAGCTTATTTGGGAGCTTTATGGTGAAACAAAAGGCATCTAGGACCTTAATTTAGCTCTTTGAGAGAAGGAAGAGAGGGTCCGATTGGGGGAAGGATTTCAAAGAAGTTTTTGGGTCACTTTGGTTTATGGTTGGGTCCTAGTTGGTGTATTTATAGCTGCAGAGTAAAGCAGAGGACTTTCCATGCATCCTTGGCTTCACTGTGTTTTACAGCTATGAACTTCCTAATGTTTTGTATTTTTCAGGTTGGCATATGTTCCTAATCACCATAATGCCCTCAGGATACAAAATAGACTTTTTTGCCAAAATAATAATAATAATAATGTTCTTCACCAATTTATCCAAAAAAGAAAAATCATACTACTTAAATTTCTTAAATCTCCATTCACTACAAATACCATGACAATGAGATATGTAAGTTTCTATAAACTCCTCAATTTAAATTTATGATATGTTTGATTTCGTGAGTGATTTTTGTTCTTATTTCTCATAGTATGAAAAAAAAAAAAAGTTACTAAACAAAATGGTAATATAAGACAAATGTGCGACAATATTGAATTTCTAGTAAATCCCTATCTAAAAGCCAAAAACATATAGTAATTGTTTCTCTCTTTTTTTTTCTTTTTTTCAACATGGTGTTTGAGAATGAGATGCATCCTAATCTCAATTTTTTTTTTAAATAAACAATCTTTCCAAATACGATTGGAGCGAAAAATAATAATAAAAATACACACTCTAATTCATTATTGTTTAAAATTAATGTACAAATTGAAATTATATTTTTTAAAAAACTTAACATCACTAAACAAAATAAAGTAATAATAATAATAATAATGGATAAACTTAATAATGTGAATAGAGAAAGGTATAATTGAAACCTGTGCTTTCAACCATATTAAACAACACAAGCAGTAAATTCACGTGAAATGATGTGTCTGTCCAAAACACATGAAGTTACTCTAGATTTTGTAGTATGACTTGGTCAGGAAATCCAAGGACGCTATATAGATTGAAATTAGATGAAGTTAGAAGTGGGGTGCTATGTTGTAATAGAAGTAGCCAACCAGGCGGTGAAAAATCTAAGAAATTTGTGATTTTTTGTTTGTGAACATTTGACCCCGTGTGGTCCCTACACACCGTACATCTTTCCCTGCTAATTGCTAAAAAGCTACTTTTTCGATTTAGTACAGAGAGACAGAAGTCAGAGCTTTCTATGTGTATTTGAAAAGTCTTACACCCTCATTTAAAGCCCTCTCTGCCACGCGTCTTGGCTGGTTGCAGAGCAAAGACATTTTGCTTTTCTGTTTCTTCTCGTGCTCGGGAAATCTTTCCTCTTTTTTCCTTATCTGCTCGGTCGGCTATCTAGCCGGCTAAGCTCAAATAGCCGGTTAAGCTCATTCTGTGGGTGCTTGCTTTGCTTTTTTTAAAAAAAAAATAGCTCAGGGGCTATGTGATGTCATTTTCGTTCTTGTTTTTAACATTTTGAAAACAAGATATAAAACATGTTTGTTTTATATTTTATCTCGGAAAAAATAAAATTAGCAACAAGTGTTAATTTGTTTCAGAATAAAATTCTCAAAATATGTATTTTATACTTTTAGTATATGTTTTGAGAGTCAAGTAGAATTCGAGAATTAAAAAATAATCAATGTTGAAATATGGATAGAAACTAGGACCGGAGTATTCGAGAGTTCAAGCTTGGATTGAGCTTGGGGTGTTCAAAGTGCTCGGTTCATATCAAGTCTAGGTTTGGAATGCTTGGGATTGTGATTAGTGTCATGATTTTGACCGATACCAAATCCGAGGTGCTATGGGGTTCGATCCAAGATCAAATCCAAGGTGTACCGAGTTTTGATTGGGATCGGAGTTCGTAGCGTTTAAGGTTTGTCATGACCAAGGTTAGTGTTCGGATCAAGATGGGGTCTAGGGCATTAGGGATCCGAATAAGGACAAATGTTAAGGTTTGGGCAAGATCCAAGTTCGTGTTACTTGGGGTTTCTATTAGAGACATAAAACCAACACTAAGGTTCAAACCAATATCAAGTCCAAGTTGCTCGGCATTCGAACTAGGATCGGGTTTAAGACTTTTGGGGTTTAGGTTTGGAGTGCCCGATGTTCAAGCTAGAATCGAGGTTAGGGGCTTTCGGGGTTTGAGTCCGAAGCGCTTGGGATTTAGATTATGATTGAGTCCAAAGTGCTAGGGTGCAAGTCGATACTAGGTCCGGATCACCTAAGATTTGGGTCAAGACTAGGTCCGGGGCATTCTAGGTGCAAACCAAAACCAAGTCTTAGGTGCTCATGGTTCAAACTTGTGATAAGTTTCAAACAAATATCAAGTCCGGGATGCCAAGAGTTTAGGCCAAAATCGATATCTAGATATTTGAGTTTTTTATCGGGATTGTGTTCGAGGCGCTCGAGGTTTAAGTTAGAGCCGGTGTTAGAGTTTGGTCCAAGATGGAGTCTAGGGAGTTAGGGATTTAAACGAGGATCGATGTTGAGGTTCAAGGCTCCTAGAATTCGGGCGGGGATTAGGACTGTGGCTTGGGTAAGAACAAGTGTTGAAATGCAAATCGAGTACGAGTTGAGGATGTGGATCAAGATCAAGTTTAAGTCACTCATGTTCAAATCGAAACCGAGTCTAGAGCACTTTGAGGTTGGACCAAAACCAAGTCCTTGGCTCTCGGGGTTCGAATAAGGATTATAGATGGGGTCGAAACCAATACCATGTTCGGAGGATCCAAATTTTGAATCCATAGTTTAGTCCTAATAACTCAAGCATTTAAGTGAAACTATATATTTTTTTTTGAAAGAAAAAAATTAGCTAACCAAACAAGTTTTGAACTTTTTAAAAACTAATAAAAAAAAACTCAACAACTTAAGACCAAAACCAAAAACAAAAATGACACCAATTAGTTCCTTAAAAAGTAAAGAAAAAGATGAATTAGGCATGAGAATTGCATTGCAATGCAAAATAATAATAATAAATAAATAAATGATGATAGTCATATTCACATCTATTTAATCGAATGGAGGTGAGTGGAGGGATTTGTGTAGGTGAATTTGGAGCAAAAATATATGTTCAAGTATGAAGACAAAAAGAATGTTAAAATGTCCTTCAACTCAATGAACTTTCATATATATATATATATATATATATATATATATAATGTTATAAAAGAAATGGTAACAATAAAGTAAATACAAGTGATAAGAACTTCAATTAATTCTCTCAATCTCTACAAAACATATCCCTCAATCGATGAACAATCAATCCTATTTATAGGTTTTAGGATTAGAAAAAGAATTAGAAAATGTTAAAAAAGTTCATGAAAGGTTGAACCAACCTTTCAATTCTCGTGTCATCATGCATGATTATGATGAATTGAATCTCATTAAATAACATGATTAGTGGTGGGAATAAGAATGGTCAAGGAAATTCATTATTTCATAACATTCTCCCTTAAATATATATTGTACAAGAAACATGTCTCATTAAAACCTTACTAGAAAAAATCCAATTGAAGAAAAAATAATATAATATTTTTTGTACATATTAATCCTCATATCAAGCTTCTTTTTGAAAGCTTTATTTAAGATCTCTAAAATAACACATTCCAATCTTGTGAATTATTTTTCCAAAAGTTGTGGTAGACAATGCCTAAGTGAACAAATCTATCGGATTGTCATTTTGATATTTCCTTCTTTTAATTGAGTTTCTTAAGCAACATCATATTTATATAATATTGTTGTAGCTTCATTTGCTAGTGGATAAATCACATGTCTCTCGATTATGATAGGTCATTAGTCTTAACCAAATACATTCTCAACCTATCTTATAAATTGCTAGTATTTCTACATGATAGAAATAATCGATGTGCTAAGTTTTGACTAGGATAGGGTTTAGAGTGCGCTCAAGGTTCATCATGACCAATATTAGTGTTTGGATTGAGATGGAGTCTAGGGCATTAAAGATCTAAATATGGATAAATGCTGGGATTTGTATAGGATTTGAGTTCGAGTTACCTTGGGTTTCGTTAAAGATATAGAACCAACACCAATATTAGATCAAGGTCATTTGACGTTTAAACCAAGGTCGGGTTCGAGCCTTTTGGGGTTCAAGTTTGGAGTGCCTAACCTTCAAGCTAGAATCGAGTCGGGGGTTTTTAAGGATTTAGGTTTGGAACACTTGGGATTTGGACTCGTGATTGAGACTAGAGTGCCAAAGTGCGGAATGATACTAGGCTTGGTCACCTAAGATTTGGGTCGAGACTAGGTTCGAGGCATCCTATATGCGGACCAAGGCCAAGTCTTAGGTGCTCGTGGTTAAAACTTGTGATGAGTTTCAAATCAATAACGGGTTCAAGATGCCGGGGGTTTAGGCTAAGTTTAGAAGTGAGCAAATGGTTAAACGGTTCGGTTTTACATAATTAAATTTGATTTTCGGTTAACCAAATTAAGAAAAATCAAAACGAAACCGAACCAAAATAAGTTCGGTAAATTCGATTTGAAATCGAATTATTTCGGTTTGATTTCATAAAATTTTGATTTTAATCAAAATATTTTACTTGTAAAAAAAAATTCATTCTTACGCAGATTCGATTAGCAGAAATAACAAGAATTAACATTAAACTTAATGGATCTCCATGTGAGAGAAAAAATGTTTCCATCAAAGCCATTTTTTTTATGTTTTTAAAGAAAAATATCAAGAAAACAAAATAGAAAAATATCAAGGAAATCCATAGCTTCTCGGGGACAAACTATCAAAATGT